TTTCCAAAAGTTTTAGTGGCAGTGGCAGAGAGGCCACTATACTAATCTTGTTATAATTCTTTATTAGTTCAGGGTATCTTCCTACTTCATAAATTAGGACATTTTCCATAGAGATTAGACAAGTAGTTCAATAGTCCATACTTCAGGCGGAAAAGAAAAATAGTCTATGCATTATCCTGGTCCTCATTGCTATCACCTTAATATGTTAATTTGAAGTTTAAAGGATCTTAGTTCAAACACTAAAGATTTAGTTTGGTCACATATTAACTCCATAGAACTTTGCAGCTAAACTGGACTCTCATAAAGCATTATTCCGTATATTTACATCATTTTAAAAAATTCATTGACGTCCAACTGTTTTATCACCCATCTTTTTTATAATGTTTGCCGATTTTGTTTTCTAGAGAGAGGTAAGTATGCATTCCATGCCTGAAGCTCTGTTAATGACTGCCATTATATGTTTAGTCATTGGTAGTAAGAAGGGTAAAATCATGTGAAGATGTACCATGCTTCTGTAATCATAGTACTTAGAAAGGAACGCCAGAAGCATTATAGGAAGGTTTTAAACGTTAAAGCCTCTGTGGGATAGAACTGTTCATTTGGCTATGCTTTCGTGTCTTGCAGAGAATACTGTTACAAGTGTTTCTACCAATGAAATTCAGAAAGACTGCAGAGAATATTGGGATGCATGTCCCCTTTCTTTTATCCTAAAAAAACTAATTTTAAACTACAAATGACATATAGGACACAGCAGTGTAGTGACCATGCTTCTAGAAAGAGAATAAACACTATCTAAACGAGCAAAGTATCTGAAAATGAAGTTGAATAAACTCATGATAAACCTTACCGTCAAGTCAAGCCTTGGCATAAGCACTAAGAGTTCATCAAAAATTGTTACCCTGGCAAGTATAGTGTTTCAAGATAGTTAGAAGTAGAAAAGAAAAGCTCCTATATAATGCAATTTTTGGTAAGTTCATATAATATATTCTTATATTTATCACGGTCATAAAAATCATACAGCTGAAAGACATGCACAAGAACATGACAACTACCTTGACCAGATAAACAAATTCATTAACATAGAAGCACAAGTTCAACTAGGATTACACTGGAGAATCATAGACCCAAAAACTGACAGGATTGAGTTGACGTCTTCATCCCAACCACACACCAGTACCAGAAGCATAACTAATATGATAAGAAAAAGATACATAATCAATGAAGATTGGCATACAAGAAAACCATGCTCCATAGTCTGGCTGTTGGATAATCAAGAATGATTGAGTGAGTTAATTTGGTAAGCAATTAAGGCAAGAAAGAACAAGGGGGTACAACTGGCTAGTGAAAGAATGTTTACTAAAAAAGCATGATTGATAAGCTGTCTAGGTACAGAATCAAATTTGAAATCAGACTAAACGATTGTAGGGGAATTTCTACAGATTCTTATTAATTAGTCATAGCTTAATACCCTTCTGAAAACCCATATTTCTGTCCTAGTTCTAGTTTGCTGGAGAAAGTAAACAACAGGTTAACATCAGGGTTATTTCAAGTTGCTTTTCTTGTGTTCTTATATCACATTGGTTCTTACTTAAGCACTTTGATTTATCCAAGCAAGCGCCTTTCTAGCAGCATTTGAATGCAGGGTTTTAAAAATCTAGCGTCTTGATGGCACCGTTGGCATTTAACTTCTCATTAAAGAAGGTAAGTTGCCAAGATAAAAGTTTCTTTCCCTTTTGTCAGAGAATCACTGAAAAATCTCTCATGCCCTACCTTGATTATAAACTATTAACGAACTTATAAAAAACAATAAGGTACAATTTCAGTAATAGGATTCCAAATCTTAGGAAACACAAACAGAAATAAGAATACATTCCACCAACTAGCCAACATCTGCAAGTTATGCATCATGAAAAGAAGGACAGGGAATGGATGGACAAAGAAATGGACAGTTAGAAGCAGATAGTTAATTCAAGTCAGTGAAAACTCTCGTGCATGATTTTAATATCAATTCCTAGAGAAAGATTGAAGTTTCCAAACATCTGCACAAAAGAACACATCCATACCCCATACGAACTCTGGACTCTGCTAATTTCAAGAGCCGTGCCAACGCCTCCCTCGAGTGTCTAGCCTTCTGAAGGTCACTGTCTTGCCTGTAGCCCTCTTCCGCATGAAGAGGCGTATTTCCAGTTCTAATGTCTGCAGAAGATGCTCAAATATCACATAAACGACCACAATGCACCAGGCGCCTCCTTTCTCTAGGTCTCGGACCCAATTCAGCTCGGCAATATAAAAGATAATACTTTACTTTCAAATTGCACTTAAAAAAAATAAAGCCTTCAGCATTTAAGATTTCTTTTAAGAAGACAGAATTCATTTACAGAGGAAACATCTCCAGTTGCATGTGCCATAGCAAAATACTCTGTTCTTAGACCCTTACATCAAAGATGCCCGCGAATTGCGCTAAACGCGGTGTTGCAAATGAATGGTAAGCGAATAAGAAAAAAGAAAAAGAAAAGACGTGTCTTTCATAACAGCCAGGAAACTAAACATGGAGTTCAGAATCAAATTATGGAAACAAACCAATACGATGTTTGAGTCTGAATGGAAAAATAGAGCAGCCAGCACGATAAAGAACCCAATTCCATAATTTTCCGGGAGCGAGAAAACGATGAAAAATGATGAAATCGTAGGGAAGTATTTGAAAAAGAAGCTTACCACGGTATCGACGATATATGTCAAAGATGTCGATCCGAGCGGAAGCCAATGGATCCATGGATCAACTCGCCTGCGAAGCAGTCGGAGCTAGCAGCAGGGATGAAGAAGATACAGCGAGAAACAAACCCTGCGCTGAAATTCAAGCAAGCTGCTTCGGAGGGAGCCAGACTGTATCTGATCTCTCTCTCTCCCCCTCTCTCTCTAAGTTTCAGTTCATCGTCTTCTCCGCGTCCGGGTTGATTTCCGCGACCGCGGCTGAGAAAAGCAAAGATATTTGTAATATAATTCAGTTAATAGATATACATACGCACATACAGAAAAGAAAATAAGAGCGGCTTTTGTTTTTGAAAAAAAAAATATATATATATTTAAAAAGGGGAAAAAGGACACTTGTACGTTGTCTTAAGAAAACAGAGACTGTTTCATGTATCCGTGAGGACAGAGGAGGACATTAAAAAGAAAGGAAACGGTAAAACAAACGAATAAAAGAGGCTGAGTTGTTTTACGGTAGTCTTGCCCAGGAAGATGCTCCTCAACTGTCGATTGCTTTGGTTTGTCGGTAGGGGCCGCGTTAAGCAGCAAAGCCTCTACCTTTCAATTTGCACGGCTGAAATTGAATATGCATTCCACCCACATTTCATATATTCTTATTTTTGTAAGAATTATCGATGGAGCTTCTCTACTTTCAAATTCATTACATATAGACAAAGCTCAATTTCTTTGAAAAAATCATTCGTTATGCTTGAATGAAATTGAGGAGCTATTTCCTATCCTCCCCGTCAAGTTCTTAAATCATATCGAATCTGCTTAGCCAAGCCGCGGTTGTTTTTAGTTTGAATCCATCTCGTCTAATAAATAAACCCCATGTGGTTAATTTGGCCAAAAAAAGAAAAACCCCCATGTCTTTAATGGGAAAAAAATTCACCCCACTAGGTGGTGCTAGCATGTGATGTAACCCAAGCAAAGGGCATGCATTTGTTTAAGAATCAGTCTTTTTGTTTCATCAGTGAATAATTACCGGTCTTTTAAGAAAAATAAATAAATTTAGCATAATTTTACCAAATTTTCAGACAATAAAAAAATTAAGAATCACTAATTTTAAAAGGAAAAAAAAAATACTTCACCACATGTTTGTCGGACGGAGGGGGATTTGGACATCCGAACTGAAAATAACTATTGACGCCACGACTTTCCACGAAGGTTATAGAGTGCCGATTAAAACTCTTCCAATTTTAACTATTTAAGCTTTTGGTTATTGCCAGACGATCAAGCCCCAATCATTCTTGGGATATATATACATCTATATGTGTGTGTGCGCACACGCTCATTATATATATATATATATATATATATATATAGCAGCAATCTATGTGATAAAGAAAACTTACATTTGAAGATCCTAATAAAAATTACATTAAAAATATTTTTAAATGGATAATTATCCTTCAGAATAAAAATTATAATGTTAGGATTCATCTAACAGCATGACTATTTTTTCAAGTGTATTAAATATTTTAAAATATTTTTTTAAAGGTATTCAACATTCTAAAATACTTGTGATGCAATTTTGTATTTGAAATATTAAGTTACTAGATACACTTAAAATATACTTTAAACTTTAAAGTGCTGAATGACTTATAAAATATTTCAAGACGTTGAACACACTCAAAAAAAATTTTCAGGATGTTCGTAAATTTTAATCCAAAATTATAAATGCCATGCTTAATGAAGTATATTAAGAAACGTGAAGTTATTTAGGTTAAGATGTAAATTTATTCTAAAAATTTTTACATAAAAGTGCTGGCCTTGGAATTCTTTTTTAGTGTAAATTTCCCAAAAGTTTAGAATCAACATTGTTTCCTATTATTAAAAATGATAACAATTAATGTTATTATTTTAATGCTATGATTTTAAATTTCAGCATAAATTTGTATTTTAAAGAATCTTCAAATCTTAATATTTTTATGTACACTTAAATCTAAGATATATTATTTTAAAGAGTTAAGGTACATCCAATACACTAAAATATTTTATCAATTACATCCAGCATCTTAATATATTTTATGATGGATCCAGTACCTTAAAATATTTTTTCAGATGTATCCGATACCTTAAAACATTTTGTAGCGTATCCAGTATCTCAAAATATTTTTTTAAATGTGTCCAACACTCAAAAATATTTTTTGATACATCCAATAACAAGACAAAAAAAATTTACAGTGGTGGAAAAAAAAAAAAGGGTCGTACTCCGTATCTTCAAATCAACCGAGAAAAGGTTTCTGACATAATGGAACAAGTTTCTCCGAAAACGTTCTTGATCCCTCCGAGACGACGTAATGGCCGACCTATTCTTTTCCATTAGCTTGCAGTTTCCTTTCATTTCTTCTTCCAAAAATTTTTCAAATCAACACTGTGTGCAAGCGCAGCTCCCCCCCCTCCCCCTCTCTGTGCCGACGAAACATGTCCTCTGATTCCGATGCCACCTCCCCCAATTCATCATCTGCGCCTCCACTGCAACTGGACGATCCCCAAATTCGAAGATTGTCTATGCTTCTCCCTCTGCTTCTCAGTTTAGCGCCCCCTCGCCAGGCCCCAGAACTTGATCCTGGTAGCCACCGTGGCCGAGTACGGATCATCGTAGTTGACCCTTCAGCTGGAGCCATGATCGTGATCGAAGGCTCCGGAGATCTCCAATCCGTGCTTCAAGGCCTATCGGTGAAGCCCGGGGTGTTGCCGGCGTCCAAGGATTCGATTCAGGCCATGCCCAGAGTGGTGGTGACCGAAGAAGGCACGGATTGTTCGATCTGCTTGGAAGCTTACGAAGTGGGGGGCGAAGCTAGGGAAATGCCGTGCAAGCATAAATTTCACTCTGGGTGTATTGAGAAGTGGTTAGGGATTCACGGGTCTTGCCCAATCTGCCGATATGCCATGCCGGCGGAGGAGGAAGACATTAGTATCGCCGGCAGCGAGGGCGAGCCAGATGGCGGCGAGAGGAGGGAGAGCGGTGAGGGGTTGGTATCCGTGAGTGTATGGGTGAGGTCCCTGGACGAAGACGATGATGATCCGATGGAAGTGGATTCAGAGTGGGATGATGGATCCGGGGGATCCAATAATGATTCGCGAGAAGAAGGAAATTCAGCAGGGGATGGGGACTCGTTGATGATGGATCAAGAGCCACAAGACATGGAATTCTGAAGAAGGAGCTGGTTGATATTGGCCTCCTTGCAAGCTGTCTTTACAAATGTGTTAGAATCTGTAGGAGTTAATGGTGTATGCAGTTACAGCAAAAATGTTGTCTTTGTTCAATGCATTTTGTTGATGTAAAGATGAAATGGATGTTAGTGATGTTTGATTGTGATTCCAGTTTGTATTAAGAGTCGTGCCTTTGAGAAAATGAGAGGGGAGGGAGTTAAAGAATAAGAGGAGGAGGGGGCGTCAAATGAAGTGGAAACTTCGGCGCTGCTTCCCTGCGATGCTTCAGCCTTCAAGACTGAGGTGAGGTGAGGTCTGCCGCATTCCTGAGGAAGCCTGCCAAAACAAGCACTTCCTGCTTAATTATTAATTAATTTATTATTAATCAGCTAATAATTGGAATTGCCCTCCTCCCCGGGCTTCAAGGCCGTTTGGCCCATACAGCCTACTGGTATTGCAGAGCCGTAGAAAGCCCCATTTCTTGAAACCAAATTATCTCTTCTTCTTTCTTTCTTTTTTTGTGTATAAATATTTTGTCACTATTCTCTCTCCCTCTTTTTTTGCCAACTGTCACTAATCAGATCTTAATTTGATTATAGGATCTCACAGTTATAATTTTAAAATCTCCAATTAGAAATTACTGCAAAAATTATCATTTGTTTTTTTAAAGTATAATTAATTGCTATAATTTGGCTAAAAAAATTACTACTAAAATATTTTACAAGACAGATTTAAAATTTTAAAATTTAAGGTGGTTTTTTTTAATTTTCTCTATTTTCTTCCAACTATCACTAATAAGATCTTAACATCATTATCGAATCTCAGATTTGTAATTACCAAGGTCTTTGAATGTTTTTGTTTTTTAAAACTCTAATTATTTTGGCCTGGGTTACATGAAAACATTAAATAGTGAATTTTAATGGATTGAAAAATTATTGATGTATGAACACCCGTGCAGGGAAATTTTTAACCATGATTTCTACCCGCTAAAATTTTACTTTTACAATAAATTCATGTCTACTTGTATTTGAAAAAACAAAAATAATGAAGAGCGTGCAGTAAAAATGTATGAATTTTAAACTGTTACCCCACAAATATAATAATAATATCAATGGAGCCAAGTAAATAATATAATTACTGAAAAATTCTAGTGACAACTTTCTGCAATGATAAATTTCAAGACAATAAATGATAACTAGTCACTTTTCATTGAGACTTATTGGTAATTATTTTCTTTCTCTCAATATCAATTGATGGAAGAAATCGTGACGTTTTATTAGAGTAACTCAGAAAAGAAATATAAAATTTTACAATGCAACCATATATTTATGTATTAGTATCTACCTAGCTGAACAATAGAAAAATGATTACAAGCTAATCCGGCAAAAATTCTCGAGTACACATTACGTGAGATCTAATATGTTTCGCTGATCCCACTTTGCAGTACTTGTGTTATGAATGAGCTTCATCATCACTCCTCACCAGTAGTCACCACAAGAACAAGTCCCATTTCTGAAATGGTGGAACCTGCTAGCGTCCCTCAACACGATTTCTCGTCCAGTAACCATGGCTATGTATTTAATCGCATTATGGCAGTCACTACAAATGCGATGGCTCTGAGTTATCTGCAAAGGCGTCCATTTTTTTGTGCTGATCAATCCAAAAGCTATTGCTAATTTCTCGCTATGGTATTTCAATACACGCTGTTCTTCTTCATCTACATCAGGAAGCAAAGTACTGTTCTCCACCATGTAACCATGTCTTGATATCTCGAGCATCAGATTGTCCACTTCTTGGTATATTTCTTTCACTTGCGGGTGGGATTTATCTCCAGAAAGGAAAGCAAATGTCTGTTTATTAACTTCAATCCAGGTACATGCTGGAAGCATTCTTAAACCCTTCCTCTTTAAGGTCTGAACAACACCAGCCGCTTCCTTCAACTTGCCAGCTCTGTTATATATATTCAACAGCACCACATAATTGCTCAGCTTCTCAGGCTCCATTCCATATAGTTTTTCAGCCGCAAACTTCCCGAGCTCTAAATTCTCATTCATTCGGCACGCTGTCAGTAACGCTGCCCACATGTTAGTCGTTGGTTGAAAAGGTGCACTTCTGATTAATGCAAATGCCTCGTCTAAAAGACCCTCTCTACCTAACAATTCGATCATACACGCATAATGCATTGCTCGGGGCTTAATCTTATGGTCTCGAATCATAGATTGAAAAATCTCCCAACCTCTTTCTGATAATCCTGAATAACTGCAAGCAGACAGGACAGCAAGAAAAGTGACATGGTTGGGAATCATCCCTTCTCGAAGCATCTGCTCAAACATACTTACTGCTTCATCACCCTGACCATGATTGCCATATCCAGCAATCAATGCGTTCCAAGATATAACATTCTTGCAAGGCATCCTGTTAAAAACATGACGAGCATCTTCCATCCTACCCCATTTGCTATAGAAGTCCACGAGAGCTGTGTTAGCCACTATATCAGAACCAAAACCATGACGAACTAAAGCAGCGTGAGCTTGTTTTGCATGTTCCAGTGAGGCCAATCTTGCGCATATTCTTATAACTATTGACAATGTAAAATGGTCCATTTTAACACCACAATTGCGCATCTCATAATACATTTCCAGCGCTTCCTCACTATAACCATGAAGCGCATAACCGGCAATAATGGAATTCCATCCTACAGTTGTCTTTTCTGGCATTAAATCAAACACAAATTGAGCATCTTCAATGACGCCACACTTACTATACATGTCAATCAGTGCACAAGACACAAAAATATCTTCACCCACACCCATTTTCAGAGCGCATGAATGAAACTGCCTTCCTACATGAATGAGACTCAATCCAGCAGACGCTCGAACCATGGTAGCGAAAGTGCGAGAGCAACCATCAGAAACCTCTTCCCACATCGTTAGAAATAATCTAATGGCTTCCATGTATCTGCCAGAGTCTACAAGTCCCCCAGGATTGTGTTCCAGGACAACAAGTTCCTCTCAGGCATTTCACCGAACAGTTTGCACGCATCGATCATCATACCGCATTTCACGTGCATTAGCAACACTCTGTTCCTCATATACAGATCTGGCTCAAACCCATTAGTAACCATGTAATTGAACACCCTCTTTACACCTCTTATCGATTTCAGACTAACGCAAGCACTCACCAACGCATCGTACGTACTGCTACCCACATCATAACCACTTTGAAGCTCCAAAAATTCAAACAATTCGAGCGCTTCGCGGTACCTACTGCACAAAACCAGCTTCTCTATCTGACTACATAGTCCTGGAGGGGGTTTTTTAACCTGGGATTTCTCCAAGATCGGTTCTTGTCTTTCATCAAAACCGATTTTCGAAGGTTTTGGCGTCGGCCGGGGTCGCAACCCTTGTTCCATAGAGGAACAATGGATCTGCGAAGAAGCTTTCCTCCATTTTCTTTCTTTTAAGAGACACTTATTGGACGGAAATGCAAATCCACGAGGAGTTTGGATTTGATCCAAAGACCAAGTTTGATGACGGGAGAGGGGGATTTCCATGTCTCCGAATAAGAAGCGAATCTAATAGAGTGGGCAGCAAGTGGGAATAACCAAGAAGGCGATGATAATGGAGTGGACAGAGGGTGCGAAGGTGACTTCATGTTGGGTTAGAAGGAAGAAAGGGAAGTCAAGAAGGGAAGAGGCGGCATCGAGGAATCCGCCAGATTTGGACAACGAGGAATGAGGTAGGTTTGGTGGTTGCAAAGATGAGGAAATAGCACCGGCGATACTTCCTATGCTCATCTCCAAATCCACTGGAATGATATGCTCTGCTTTTGCTTTCGAATTCAGCCTAGCCCAACCTCTGCCTTCTTATTATCTACTATTTCTTCCCATAAATTGGCCTTCTAGTATGGGAGTATGGGTGGAAACGAGGTGATTATTAAAATTTTGTATTGTACTTCCGATGCTAGTACAAAAACTAGCTGGATTGAATTCGATAATAAAAATAAAATTTAATTTACTTTATTTTATCTTGTTTCTCAAATTAATTATTTAATGTCATGTAAAGATATTTTAGAAAAATTAAGTAACATTTGTTATAATTAATTGACTTTTTTAATATGGGATATCCAAATTAATTAATTAATTAGCTTTTATACTGAAAACTATAAAAGATATAAATATCTAGATTAGATTTTTTTTTTTGGTTGCAATGTGATTAAAAATGGAACAAATTTGTAAAAATTCGAGTAAAATTTCAATTGCATTGAAGAAGGGAGGCAGAGATGAGGCTTTTGAAAAGGAAGAGCGTGCGAGGGGTTGAAGTGAGTGAATATTTTTGAGAAAGTAAACAAAAGAAAGGAGACAGTGATTTTTTTTCTGTTATTAAAAACTGAGTGTTGGTGGAAGTGGAACTTAAGGGGGAAAATTGAAACCAATGCTTGATGGGATCGAGGAGGGATTGGTTGGAGAATCAACATGAAAAGTCACGCAAGCACGCAAAAACAAGGTTTTGTTCTGTTTTGTTCTAATCATCTCCTCTGTTATGGTCATGGCCAGTTCTTTCCCCATACACAGGGATTAGGAAGGGGTAGAGGCTAGCAGATTGGTTGACAAATCAAGCAGAAGAGATGATGCCTATCGGTGTCTGCCATTTTGATTGCCCACCAAATGCATGTTTGTTTTCTTTTCTTCTTCTGGCCACGCCAACTGAGATCTTGTTTTAATTTGCTGTTAGAGGATCTTTTCAGTCTAGTGAGCCCTTAGATTTTGCTCTCCCTTGGCTTTGTCCAAAGGGGAAAAAAGAGAGAATGTGTGAAGGCTTTTTTTAAAGGACGTAATGACCTTGATAGTGACGAAAATTTTTCTCATTGTCCTTGTTTATATAAAGCGACTAAGCTACAACGTGTAGCTATTTTCTATAGTGATCTAAAACCAAATGTGATTGATATTTAGTATTTTAATTCTATGCCACCGCAAAATCATATGCCAGGGAGGAACAGCCGTTGGAGTCCCTGAGAGAACTAGTACGTTCTAAAGCAGTGTTCATAGATTCAATCAACCTTTTCAAACATACAACAAAAATAAAATTAAAGTTCAATCTCAAAGTACGATGATCAGGATATAACTGTTGGAGTGATCGATTTGGATTCTTTCTGAAATTTACGAAGACGAAAAACATAAGTTACGGCCAAGGTAAAGGCAGGGCACTTTTTGGACCTAAGAAAAATAATGGCAGGTTAGGCAGTGAATGTGATGCAATAGTTTGCTGACCTTTCAAATAATAGTGCTCCCTTACTTTCAGGCCATACGAGAACTTCTCATTCGCCCTGTAAAGTGTACATAACTTTCCCTTCAGTTGTCCACCAATAATGACCAATGAGGAGCTTCGCTTGCCAATGAAAAACATCAATGCAATGCTGTTCTGGAACACTGTCAAGTCAATTTGAAAAAAAAGTTTCTTCGGATTCCGGAAAGATGTGATCACACTATTGTACTGATGTACTTGCACAATCAGAATTCCCGATGATTGGGAAAGCTTGTATGACAAGAGCAGGACACACGCAAAAACAACGCAAACAGATGTTAGTTAAACTTGCACAGCGAATCAGACTACAGTAGGAGGCATGATTGAAAAGAAAAATCATTGGCTTCACTTATATATGAGCGAGACATTAGCCTCAATTTTTCCCCTTGTCATTCAATTTCAATTCATACCAGGGACTAAATTCATGACAAATTCAACTAGATCACCTGGGTCTAAGTGGCAAATCAGGCAGTGAAACAACTTACATAGCTCATGACGGTCAGATTCACAAACTCTGCGTAGAAAATAAAGAAACTTAAATACGAGCAAACTATCATGCCTTCCCATAACATGTCTAGATTGGAACTTGACAAGGCTCAAATGTATGTTCATAATAACGCCAGATAACCAGAATAACAATCTCCTCTATTATAACATGTTAACCATGAGATACTGTGGACATTGATCCCCAAACTGATATTACTGCTATCATGAAGAATGATGAAATTCAGATACCTAAAACAGGAAAGTAATCCCCAGAAGCGAATTTAATAAGGGGTTATTATATTCCAAGGTGTGACAAATTCATTATGATCGATATTTCATCATAAGCTTACAACTTATTGCCCAGAGGGCTTATTCAAAGACAAAATAGGCTAGTCCCCTATTAGATAGACCAGAGAAGGCCTAAAAGTTGAAGGGTCTCGTCTCATGTGTGATCCTACTTCCTGATCTTTCGATGCTTCTTGGGACCTGGAACTTGTAATCTACCAACAGAACACCCACACTTTGCCCTGAGAATAAGAACAGCCCTTCCGTTAGGGGGTGCCATCTTCCTGAGTTGAGCTTCCAATTCCCTGTTTTGATGGCGAGCCAGTTCAAACAAGCCCTTCTGGAATCCATCTCCATCTGTTCCCAATGAAGCTGACTTTTTCACGCAATCCTCTGTCTCCAATTGAATGTCAAATTCAACAGAATTTTTTAGGCCCTTGCAGTTGGGATTTCCACATTTTCTACCCGTCCATGTCACAACTAAGAAAGTAGCCAATACAGCGGAAGAAACACTAAGTCCTATAGAGATGTAGATCAATGGAGCCATAGAAAACTCCTCTTTCACCGCATCCAGGATTGTCCCACCAATCTCAATAGATTTAATTATCAAAATCTGGATATAGGGAAATAACAAGAATCCGCATGCGCAAATTACAGCGATAAATATCACTACATCGACCACCGCAAATCGAGATCGATCGCAAGGTGGAATTTGCAGACTATTGAAGGAAGCGGGCGTCTTCCTATTACGCAGGATGTTATTGCTTCTCCTCGATTTAGAGCCGAAGTCGGCTGAACAACTAGAATTCGCCATAGCAGGGGGTTGGTCAACGGACTGGCAGAGCGAGATAGAGTTATCGAAATAGAACATTTCAGATAGAACCCAGAAATTGAATCCAATCAACGATTGCAGAAAAATCACAGATTAAAACAATCAATCTAGACTAGAATCGGATCGATCCAAATCGTTGAAATCAAAAAGAGAAGAAATTGAAGTGATCCAGAAAGATCGAAAGAGGTCGGTGCCCAGATGCATCAATCTCTTTTTCCCCACCTTTCAAGGCAGTTTTTCACAGCTCAAATCCAGTACGTGATGCAACCTAAGAGTTACTTTAAATTGAATAGCTAAAAGGCCAAAACTGATAGAGGAGTGAAATGGGGTTTAAGGCCGGCTTGAAGAGTTCCAAAGAGGAAGAAGCACCAGAGAGGACAAGGGAGAGTCATTACTAGTCTTCATATGTTATCAGGATTCGCCATTTCGCAAACGAATCGTACAGAAGCTTGCATTTTGTTTGTAATAAACATTTGGAAAGCGAGAGCGTCGAACGAGGATGAATAACGTCGTGGGCTGTTTCCACAATGGGCTTGGATTTTGCTTTTATTGATTTCAAATTATTATTTACAAATGATATGGTGGGCCATATTCTATGGGCTAGCTTCACTATGGCCCACCTCTCCAGGGTAAATATAATCAATTACGTAATCATATAGACTCACGCTTTAATTATACCTCTACTTTAATCCTAATTATAAGAGCTAGTTGACTAATTTTAAAAGATTAAGAAAAAAATTTAAGTTATTTATTTTTCATAAATAGGTGTTGCCTTTTCTAAAATATCCTTGCTAATTAAATATATTGGCTAAAACTACCATTGTTGGAAGGACTATATTTAAAAAAATGCATAAATATTATAGACAAAATATATTAGAGTCTTATATTTAGAACGAAAATAAAATTCAAATGAGGTCTCATATTAAGGACCAAAGGTAGTATTGATTATCAAATTAATAAAAAATAATGCTTCGAAACATTGTAACTAAATTTTGGATCGAATTTTAATAAATCGAATTTTTATTTCATGTATTAGAATATCATCTAGAATAAATTAAAACAACTGATTAAAATACTTGATATCGGCTAACAAATGATTAGCAATGAATAGTGGAATTCATTTCATAGACTTGATGTAATGAAATAGAGAAAACAGTTAGTTGATGAAGTAGTTAAAACACAATTTATGAATGGATTAGTAAGTAAATGTGGGTATAATGAGTTCCAAATCATAAAGGTAGGGCAGCATGTTTATGTTAACTTTGAAGAAGTTGGAAAATAAAGGAAGGCTAAAAGAGGGGTTGAGACAACATGACTTATATTGATAGTTTAATACTTTCTCTGGTTTTAATATAAGAGTTAAATAATTAATTTATAGAGATTAATTAAATTATTTATTTATTAAAAATATTTATTACCTAAAATACTATTTTTTAATTATTTGCATTAGAGTTATCTGTTAATGAAAACACCCTTAATATATACAATCAATACTAAGAGTTTGAAAAAAATTATAAATTTAGGGGACAAATTTGTTTTAGGTTGTATATTTGGAATTAAAATAAATCTCTGAACTAACTATTATATTTAGTGCTGGTGAAGTACTTTTAAACATTTGGATTGGTTTCTTACAAAAGGAGGAGATGGATTTCTCCTTTATTAACAGGAGTTCATTGGAGAATTCAAATGAATCGTCAACTCCTTTATCTCACCACATGTCCAACAAGAGGCTTTTCATACAGTGCTCCAAGAAATGCCCATTTTAAGAGTTGTTTTCCTCTACCTAGCTCTGATCCTAAATATAAAATCAAATTAACTAATTTAAAGATATTAAGAAACTTATTAAATTACTCTAAAGTATGTATATTTATCACTTTTATTCAAACTAATTTGCCACTTAAAAATTAATATAATGATTTACATAAGTATTTGAAAGAGATCATATAATATA